AGGGGAAGGGGGAGAGAGGAGAGAGGGACGGGGTAGGGGGAGAGAGGAGTGAGGTGTGAGCAAACCCCTTCTGGTCTTCTCCCTCTGCTTCCTCTTTATTCATTTCTGATTCTCCTCCTCCCAGTCGCCCTTTCTCTTCTTCCGTCTTTGAAATATAGTAACTTTACTACTATTTTTCCCCAAAAAATTCAATCTCTTTTTCTGTTATATAATCAAGTTCCTTTTCTTTCCGACAGTGTTCTGGAACTAGATTGTTAAATATTATTGTGTTGGTTTTTTTGAAAAAAGAATTCCAATTAGGTATATTTTACTCATTTTTTCCCTATAGCTATCATTTTCTATTTAACCTTCAAACATTTTTCAAATCAATTTCCTTTTAATTTTATATACTTTTCTCATCACTGTCTTCTATGGCCCTCAGTGTTTTCAGAGTGTTAATTCTTCCCATGGGTGCTTATAAATTTTATCTTTGCAAGGCTGTTCCTTTTCTACTCCATTCTACACATTTTACACATTTTATACTTTTATTTCTTATTATCTCTTCCTTGAGTTTTTATATCTCTGTTTTATTTTCTTGTGGTGCATGCTTCCCACATGTTTTTCTTTTTAAATTCATGATAAATATTTGGCCTTATTTTTTATATGCTGATAGCTATATTTTTCTGATGTAGTTAATGTCTGCAGGTAATTTTCCTATTCTTCAATTTTTTTCCTTCCAGTGACTTTATACACATGTTCCTTGCTTAGTACTCAGACCTGGCCATGTTACATTCTATTTTCTGTATGAAATTTATGTTTATGTCAATGATTCTTATTTTACTTTTTTGAATTAATGGGGAAAAAGAAATAAAGTAGGACAGGTTTTCTTTACTATCACATAATCTATTTCTTGTGAACGTGGGGAGTATCTGCTGCAAGCCTGTAACCCTGGTTTGCTCTTGCCTGGGATGGCCTTTCAGGATTTTCTCTCCCCCTAGGGGAGGAAGTATATTCCTACCTCATTCTGGGATCTTCAGACATGTATACCCTCCTACTTTTTCTCCCGCACTTCTGCCTGATTTAAATGCTCCTGGCACTGACCCTCCTATTTTGTGGCTTGGGCTTTCAGCATTCCCCTTATTTGAACAAAGAAGGAATTAGTATTTCCATGTTGCTTAAGTGTGATTTCTGAGGGAGCGTGTATGTGACAACTCTATACTGCCATTTGCAAAAAAGGAATTCCTTATTAATCATAATATTAAAATAAATTATATCATCACAATAATGCATACAGCAGGATTAAACAGGTCTCACTGTCTCTACAGTCGGATCAGGGGAGACCTGAACCCCCAAGCCGATCATGGTAGTCTCATTCCCCACCCCATAATGCTACAGAATGCCACTCAGTGTACGGCATTCTCTAGAACTACTGGTCCATGCTGGGAACTCTCCTAAATTGTTCTAATTAATCATAACTAAGGATAAGGTTCATTTTCTTCTGTAAAACAAAAATACAAAAGAGTAAATAGTACATTTGATTGCTACTGGCAGCCATCTTACAACCATAAGATTGTGCCTTATTTCTTGATACTGTTGAGGCCTTGAGTTAATTAGCTCTGGAGTTAGTCTATCTCTGAATGTCCTGTCATGTGATAGTATACACAAACGTGTGTGTATTTTCTTTATTTTTTAGGCCAATATGATCAGTTTTTCATGTTACATGCAACTGAAAGCATTCTAACTGATATATTTTATCAAGCACACAGCTCAGTTGGGGGATGCAGACATGAGCAGGCAAGCACTCTGAAGGAGGGGTTACTTTAGTAGCCAGGCGCCTTCAGTTTGCTTTGGCTATCAGTCAGCAAGATTCATTTTTCCATGTTACAGGTACACTATCATTTAGTCTTAAGTGAAAGGCAGCAAGGAAACATCTACGGTAATAGAAACTTGTAGTATTTTAATAGAATCAATAAATAGGCCAACTGAACAGGTAGAAAGCCCAGAAACAGACCCAATACATATGAGGATTTGGTATAGGATAGAATGTATTTTAAATCAGTTAGGGAAGTATGAACTCTTCAAAAATGGTGCTGGGAGAACTGGCTGGCCATATAGAAAATAAAATTCTACCTCACCCAATACACTAAAGTCAATCCAGGTGGATTAACTAAAGCAACAATGCAAATTATTGTTTTATTCTGGAATCACATTCTTTTCACTCTAAATTTGATTACTTGTCACTCTACTGATTTCTGCTACCTGATGTTGCTAAGGAAAAGTCTGAGGCCTGCCTAATTATTTTCCTCTCTAGGTCACTTACTTTATCTCAGACATAAGGTAATGTATCAAGTTTTATACTATTACAATATTAAAATCAAAGCTTATCTTTTATAAAGTTAATTTTTTTTTTTTCTGATTCACTATGTTGGATGTATAATTCAATCTTCTAATTGCTTTAATCTGCATTTTGTTTAAATTTCCTTAAATATGTTTTCCACATTACTGGCTTAATTTTCAGCAAGGTAAACTCTACATTGGTTTTATTCTTTAGTTTTTTTATCCTAGTTCTAAGAGCTTCCATTTACATATTTTATTATCTTTTCTTTAACCCCTTGTTATATGGAACCCAATCAGCTTTTGTCTAATGCTTTCTTCTGTTTCCAGAAGTTAATCTTCCTTCTAAGTGTACTCTTCATCTGCCATTTAATTTTAAAAAATTAAATATTTGGCCTGAATAGTTACATGTATTCTTGTCTTTTTATTTTTATTTTTCAGTGTCTGACTGTATGTGAATAAAGGTAACTACTGGTGTAAGCATATTTTGGTGAAATTTCTTCACATCTCCACCTGTGCTCTCTCCCCCATACCCCCTACACCACTTCTCCTAGTACCATTTAGATCTTAACCTTCAATTTGGAGCACAGGGCTAAATATTCACCACTTCTATTTTTCGTTCAGTCATTTCACCCCAAAGAGATTATGCAGAGAAGCATTTGGAGCAAGAACTATTGTGGTTTGAATGCAGTTTCCATACCCTACAGGCAAATTTGTAAGCTTTTCTTCTGGGGTTAAGCAGAGATGGACAGGGGAAAGGCCAGAGACTGCCACAGCTGTAGCATGAGGAAATTCTGGGAAAGAGAGAGATGCTTAACAGTGATTTAGGAAGTTTTGCTACAGTGATAGGTGATGAAACTATCTCACCAAGAATTTCAGTAAAAATATTACATTATTCTTGCATACTCTTGAAATTGGAGTGCATTTTATTTTTTAAATATGATGATATGCAGAAATAACCCTTAAGGCAAGGATTGAACAGCTCATGGAAGCCCTGTTATAGAAAGGTTATTAAAAGATCTCTTAGTGTTATTTCTGTGCTTAAATAGTTATTTTTAATTTTGTTCCTATCATTTTTTCAAACAAGATTTGAGTGATCTATACATAAAATCAGGGTTACATTAAAACATAATTGATAGTAGTTAGAAAACCATGAGAAATGTACCCAGACATTTAACTTCACTTGAAGTGTACTGCACAAATATGTTTTAATGACACTTTAATATTTTATTTGGTTGGCTGCTTTCATGGAGTACAATTTTTAATTTTAAAAGGTAGGAAACGTGCTAATTTCTTATAATTCATTTTAATAGGTTTATAGCTTTGCAGACTGTATGATTTTGGCATATTCTGTCACTTAGTGACAGGATACCT